GTGATTAGTGTATTTTACAGAAGATAAATATTTTAACTCTTGAGTAGTTCGTGTGCCCTATAATGAGTAGCTAATATTTTAAGATCATGATTGAAGATAAATTTTTTAGAGTTATTTGCTACAAGTAATCTTTGACTTGTCCAAGTCCAGTATTATTCGGTTATTACTGCTTTTTATATTTGGTTCTTAATGCAGAAGTAAATGTTGGTGATGATACACCAACTAAAAAAAACACATTTTTTGGACAACACTCAACGACAAATTATTTCGGATTTCCTGTTGAAATCAAACAATCATGGAATATTTAACAATATGCTTATGAAAAGGGTGGCAACATTATATTCGGTCTCTATAAATGTCATTTATCAAATTTGGAGACAAACAAAAATACAGGTGATGCATGCCATAAGAAAACAAGAAATTGTGGTCGAAAAAGAATTCAAATAGATTTTGAAAACGTGTGTAATGTTCTATTAAATAAGTGTGACACTCTTCGATCTTTACAACGTGCTTTAGGCATTAAAACTAAGACAACATTGGTGAAATATGTAAAGGAATGGGTTTTACGCGTCGGCATTCAAATATCCTAAAGCCACACATGACAATTAGTAATATGAAAGTTCATCTTGAATTTTGTTTGTCTATGCTTGATGTAAGAAGCATTCTTCATGATCCAAGATTTAAGTCTATGTATAACATTGTTCACATAGATGAAAAATGGTTTTTTCTATCTAAAAAGTCATCAAACTATTATCTTCTCGCAAATGAGGAGGAATCGTATCGTACATGTAAGAACAAAAACTATATTGGTAAGGTCATGTCCTTAGTTGTTGTGGCTAGGCCAAGATTTGATCATGAAGGTAAAGAGACATTCTCAGGAAAAATCGGCGTGTTTCCTCTAGTCACCAAAGTACCAGCAAAAAGGTCAAGTGTCAATACAGCTTCTGGGATACTTGAAACAAAACTGATTTCTTCTATTACCAAAGAAGTTAGTCGACTGTTCTTAATAAACAAGATTTTGCCGGGCATTAAAGAAAAATGGCCACGAGAGCATGCACACGAAACAATTTACATACAACAAAATAATGTACCGTGCCATGTTTCAGTAGATGATGAAGAATTTTGTAGAGCAACGTCTGATGGGCTTATTTACACGGTGGAAAAATCTTATGACAATTTTTGCGTCAAAAATATGAACAAAATATTTCTCACATTTCAGTCGTGTATGATTGAGATCATAAAGGCCAAAGAATCCAATAACTATCAAACTCCTCGTATGAAAAATGATATGTTACTTAGGGGAGGCATGTTGCCGATTCAACTAAATTGTGACTGAGAATTATTTCATGAAACTTTAGATTACCTACATAATTAAGAGTAATGTAAGAGATTAATTTGCTTTGAGCATGTTATGTTTATGTTGCTTCTATTATTAACAAATTTCAATACCATTTCATATATCTATAGCAACAATGAATTTAGACGTTAAAAATCTACTACTATTTCATCAACATTGTAGCACAACTACAAAGAATGGCTTGGCTAACACAGAAAGTAGCATTTCTCAATTTTTTTCAATTTTAAAACACATGCATACATGAGTGCTTACTGTTGGTGCAAAGGTAGAATAAATGATGAAAGGTAGAAATATTCTATTTAGAATGACGGCAGAAGAAAACAGGATTAAAAGTTACAATGATTGTCACCCTATTTATAAGCTAAAACTAGGGTTACTAGAATAAGATAAAATACTAAAATACCCTCTAACAAACTTAGGGGCTAAGAAAATAGTACAACTAAATAAATATGAATTACTATTAATATTCTAATACCATCCCTTAATTCATATTCCATCAAAACTTGTAACACCAATTCCATCCCTTAATCTGAGAAATTGATCAGTCATTTCAAATTCATTCATTAGAACCTTCTTGAACTTGGTTATCTCCTGTTCAGAACTTCCAGTCAATAGTATATCATCAACATATAAACATACCAGAGTTATATTGCCTTCAAAAGTATGTTGAACATAGACACCGTACTCCATCTCACATTTCTGAAAGCCTTGCTTCTTGAAAAATGAATCAATCTTCTGATTCCAAGCTCTGGGTGCTTGTTTCAATCCATATAGAGTTTTGTATAATCTATACACCATCCCTTCCTGATTCTTTTTCACAAATCCAGGAGGTTGTGACACGTAAACTTCTTCTTCTAATGGACTGATCTAGGCAAAATGACATACTTTCTAGGGATGGAGTTCAGATATTCTGAGAAAGGTATCATTTTGCATCAGCTCAAGTATGAATTAGAACTTCTGAAGAGATTTGATCTGAAGAATTGTAAGATGGCTGTCACACCTTCTGATACAAATCAGAAACTGGATTCAGACTCTGAAGGAAAGGATGTGGATGCTACAACCTTCAAACAGTTGGTTGGTTCTCTGAGGTATCTGTGCAATACTTACAAAGTTACAGTATTGTTTACGGGAGTGCTTACAAAGTTACAATATTATTTACATGAGCCAGAAGTAAGGCATTGTTTGCATCAATTTTTTCTCAATTTTAAAACAAAGTTACAGTATTCCAATTTTTTCTTCAACAACACATGCATACATGAGTGCTTATGTGAGTGTTAGAGAAAACTTCAAAATAACATATGCATGCATGCTTACAAGCTCCATTTTCTACCAAGTTACTCTAAACCTTTCATTAAATAGACAAACAATTCTTGTCAAAATATTTCAAATAAACACTTCAAATTCAAATAACATATAATTTCTTGCCTATAAGAAAGAACCTAGGTAAATTTTCATCAAATCTGGGATGTCTTTCTTAATCTCTTCAGCATCATATCCAAAGTTAAATCTTTGACGCAAATTCGTAACTTTTTCAGAGTCCAAAGCTTCTTTAACTTTGTCCTTAGCTTCTTCAACTTCATCAAAAAAGTCAATTGAAGATCCATTTTCAAACACTTGAGCATTTTTGTGTGACATTACTTCATCTTCAAATGGTAAACTATGATATTTGTCTCCCTCCCCATCTTTGTCTAGTGAATCTTCAACAATAAGAAGTGAAAGATATTTTCTCCCTCTCCATCTTTGTCTAATGAATCTTCAACAATAAGAAGTGAAAGATTTTTTAGATCATTATCATCAATGCCTAAGTCAAAGGAAGGGGCAACCCAACAGTTTGGTGGTGCCGCCATTTTTTGAGAAGAAATAAGCAATTTGTTATTTTCAAAAAAGAAAGAGTAAATATTGTATTACAAAAGAATGAAAAATTTGTTTCCTTTTATAGAGTTTGCAAATTGTGTTACTCCAAAAATCCAGCTTAAAAAACTTTAGCGGGAGTACATGGAAAATTGAATTTTTATGGAAAAAGTATATATATATATATATATATATATATATATATATATATATATAATATGTTATGTATATAATGCACCATAATAATAATGATAATGCCCATACTATTTGGTTGAGAGATAAAACAATGGTCACAATAATATTCGAAATATGAACAAGGGTAGAAAAAATAAAACTAAACCAATCTATATAAACCTTTGAAAGCTTGCAAAGATGAAATACATCCTACAAGGGTAAATTTGTAATCTGACAAATCAGTGACAGGCCTTGGAAGTGCAACGAACAAGCAGGTCAGCAACTGTCGGCCGGTGAACCTGGAGAGATAAAAGCGGCGAGATTATAACTTCATGCTTTCAATCATTTTTCAAACTAAAAAACATTCATTTTTTTTTTCTCTTAGCCTCTACCCCACAAAATAAAAAAATAAAAAAACATAATTATTGACACTTCAGTTTTAACTCCCAACAATTATTAAAACTATAAAAATATTTCCAGGTTTAGTTAAAATTATTTAATTAATTTCCATCGTCATTTCTTACTATTTTACTTTAGAATAGAAAAATAATAATATATATTCATCTCTCTCCCACTCAGTTTTCTCCTTCTACCTTGCGTGCAAGTGCTTCAACTCAACTCGTTCCGATTCCAAACTCAATTCAACTCTGCTTCTCAAATCACAATAGATCTTCTCAAACTCAAACCCTATTCTGCGATTCTTCAACTTTCTTATTCATTTTCATGAAGCTTCTTTTCTACTGATTTCGCTTGGTAAGTTATTTTACTTCCAAACCCTAAACCTTTGTTTAATCGCTTATTTTGGCTAATTCAACTGTTTTCTCGCGCTTCTTTGGGTTTCTTAATAACTGGCTTATGATTCTGAAATCAGATTTTTATTTATTTTTCTTGTTGATGATGTAGTAGCCTCTGTTTTTTTTTTTTTTTGTATTGAATTTGTAGAAATGAAGATCATAGCTGGAAAGTCATGTTTTCTAAATCTTATGTATATTTTTTGGAATCATGGTCCATAAATTAAGGTGCTATTCAAAAATTGGTTGATGAACTTGCTGTATCATTTGAATCAATTTTCTTGTCTCCAATGGATTTTATTCTATGAAACTTACAAAGCCAAATTTGAAACTTTAGCAACACGTGTCATTTTTTCTTTTGGTGGAAAAGTTTGGTCAAGAAAGTAGTTGTTTCCTATTTTGAGAAAAAAAACCTAAGGCTATGATAAATTTAAGTGTTAATTGATATTATTTTCTCAATTTTGTTGCATGGTGGTCCCTGTTTTATTGTTTATTGCTTTTTTTTTATAGGCTGTATGCAAAACTAGCTTGAATTTGTTGTTTTTCTGGTTTCTGATTTGGTAAAGCTCACAGAATTTTGGTTTATATGTTTGGCCATAAATAACCATAAATAAGTGTTGTGCTTTGCTTCCTTTATAGGGTAAATAAAATTAGATGTAAAAGCTTAGATTGGCTGCTGCAGTAGTAATGATGCTGTTTTGTTTAGAAAATGATAGTTTTTGTCATCTTTGCTAACTTTCTTTCTTTTCCATTTTGATCACGTATGCTGTATAGCTAAAATAATTGAGATCATTTAGTTCCCGAGTTTGCACGGATAGTGGATGTGAATGATGGATGTTGCCGCTGAGGTTGAAGAAAATCTATTTGCTGTTAGTGATGCCAAGGTATGATTATATATGTTTAATTGCTTAGTACATTGTTTTGGAAATTCTAATGCTTTATGTATTGTATAGTACATAAGTGTGATATCGCGGGTTCGAACTCGCGCCACACCCCTGCAGTCGAATGTCCCTACATAGCTACCAACTGAGTTGGTTTAACGGGACTATTTAATATGTATTATGGCATAACGGGACTATTTAATGTGTATTCTACCAACAGAGAAACATAAATAAATCTGTCATACCTAATAAGGCTCATGAAACACTGCTATTTGATTATCATTGTTATTTTTTTTAATTTCCTAGCCAAATAAAAAGAAAAAGAATGAATGATTTATGTTCTTCTTGGTCTGTTGTTTTGTTCCATTGTATCCCAATTGTAATATTATATTACTCCCCCTAATTCTCTGCAATGTAACCTAACCAACACCTATCTGGTTTCTCTTGCAGTTACATGGACAAATGTGCAAGGCTCTTTCTATAGTATATTGCAAAGTATTGTCAGTATTTCCTTCTTTAGAAGCAGCTAGGCCTAGGAGTAAAACTGGAATTCAGGCATTATGTTCATTGCATGTAGCCTTGGAGAAAGCCAAAAATGTTCTTCATCATTGCTCAGTGTGCAGTAAACTTTACCTGGTATGATTCATTTCTTCTGTAGCTTTACTTGCTGATTAAGTCCGCAAGGATTTTATCTTATTAAACAATTATCTGTTGTTGGTTTGAGGTTCATTGACCTGAAATACTTTTGCAGATTATCTTACTTGAGATTGATTGTGATGCAGGCTGTAACTGGGGACTCCGTTCTCCTGAAATTTGAGAAGGCTAAATGTGCTCTTGAAGATAGTCTTAGGCGGGTGGAAGATATTGTTCCACAATCCATTGGATATCAGGTAATAAACTTCTAAGGCTATTATGATACGGTTCTTTCCTATTTTGGCATATGATTGAGGGGTCTGTTTAAAATTTTTATTTCAAAATAAATGAATACCACCTCATTGGTGATCTTATGGATTTGGTTTTCTTTAACGCCGTCCCTTGTATGTTTATACACATGCACAAATGTTTTTTTTTATTGTTTGTCAATGTTTAACCTAGTCTGGCGTATGACATTACCTGTTCAGGTTCAGGAGATTGTGAATGAATTTGCAAGTGTGGAATTTGCACTTGACCCCTTAGAGAAGCAAGTTGGTGATGATCTAATTGCATTGCTCCAGCAGGGCAAGAAGTTTGACGACGATAGTGAAAGTTACGAGCTTGAATCTTTTCACCAGGCTGCTACTAGACTTGGAATAACATCTTCAAGAGCAGCTCTTGCTGAAAGAAGAGCTCTCAAGAAAGTTATAGACAAGGCTCGGGCTGAGGAAGACAAAAGAAAGGAATCAATTGTTGCATATCTTTTGCATCTTATGAGGAAATACTCCAAGTTATTCAGAAATGAGTTTTCAGATGACACTGATTCTCAGGGTTCTGGTCCTTGTTCTCCCACTGTTCAGGGATCTAATGAGGACGGCGTTCCTGTTTGTCATAGTCAGGCTTTTGGCAGACAGCTTTCAAAACTTAGTTCCTTTAGTTTCACGCCAAATAATAATATGGAGCCAGGGCAGATGGCTCTACCACCTGAAGAGTTGAGGTGTCCAATATCTCTGCATCTTATGTATGATCCAGTTATTATTGCTTCTGGGCAAACATATGAAAGGCTTTGCATAGAGAAATGGTTCAGTGATGGGCACAACAACTGCCCAAAGACCCAACAGAATCTTCCACATCTTTGCTTGACTCCTAATTACTGTGTTAAGGGTCTTGTTGCTAGTTGGTGTGAACAAAATGGAATTCCTATTCCCGAAGGCCCTCCTGAGTCTCTTGATCTTAACTACTGGAGATTGGTAATATCAGAGTCTGAGTCTGCAAATTCCAGATCTGTAAATAGTGTCAGCTCTTGCAAGCTGCAGGGTGTCAAAGTGGTTCCTTTAGAAGAGAGTTGTATCTCAAAGGAATATGGGGAAATTGAAGCTGAGAGTGTATCTGCGCAAGAGGAAGACACTGAGCAGTATCTTAGTTTTCTGAAAGTCTTGACTGAGGAGAGCAATGGGAAGAGGAAATATGAAGTGGTAGAACAGTTGAGGCTGTTGCTGAGGGATGATGAAGAAGCTAGGATTCTTATGGGGGCTAATGGGTTTGTTGAAGCACTTATTCAGTTTTTACAATCGGCTTTACATGAAAGGAATTTGATGGCTCAGGAAAGTGGAGCAATGGCTCTCTTCAACCTAGCTGTGAATAATGACAGGTCTGCATTATCATCTGTAGTTTTTATTAATTTGAGTCATTATGTAGAACTTCTTTTCACGTGGTTGGAAAATCAAAACAGTTTTTGGCATTACCATTGTAAATAAATTGCACGCTGTGTTTTGTTGTGTTGGTGAAACATTGAAGGTGCGATAAAAAAGAAATATATACTGCTGGATGTTGAAACCTTACTGCTGCCTTACATTGAATTGAATGCATGGTGCGATGACAAAGAAATATAGTGCAAGTGGATGTTGAGAACTTACTGCAGCTTTACATTGAATGCATCACTACAACTTTGGTGATATACATACTTAGTTAATTTTTAGGCTCTTGTTTCTCTATTGGCTTATTTAAACAGAAAGGGATAAGATTAGAAATAACAATATTAGAGTGTTGGGGTAGTGCCTATAAAAGATGGTGGAAAATAGGCTTTTTGGTGGCTTGGACATGTAGAGAGAAGACCTATAGATTGGTTGTAAAGAGTGTAGATCAGATGGAGAAAAGTTAAACAACTAGAGGTAGAGGAAGACTTAGAAAAACTATAAGATAAACTATTAAGAAAGATCTCAAGATTAACGAATTGGATTGAAACATTGTTATGGAAGAATTTGATCCATGCAGCCAACCGCAGTTAGTGGGATAAGGCTTGTTGTTGTAGTTAATGTGTTATCCAAATATTGAATGTGGCTTACGTTTCCAAAGATATATAGTAGAGTTAATGTTTCATCAACTCTTCTTTTAAGTCATTTTAAATTTTTTAATCCATGCGCATCATTTAACTGGATTCCCCCCTTTCCTGTCAACAGAAATAAGGAGATTATGTTATCAGCTGGAGTTTTATCTTTGTTGGAGGAAATGATTTCTAACACTAGTTCTTATGGTTGTGCAACTGCTTTATATCTGAATCTGTCTTGCCTTGAAGAAGCCAAACCTATGATTGGCATGAGCCAGGCTGTACGGTTCCTAACCCAACTCCTTCAATCTGACTATGACATTCAATACAAGCACGATTCTCTCCATGCTCTCTATAATCTTTCTACTTTGCCCTCCAATATTCCATACTTACTTTCATCTGGCATTGTTAATGGCCTACAATCCCTTCTTGTAGACCAGGGTGATGACTGTACATGGACAGAAAAATGCATAGCTATTTTGATAAATTTAGCTACTTCTCAAGTTGGAAGGGAGGAAATGGTATCAACTCCTGGACTCATTAGTGCATTGGCTTCAATATTGGACACCGATGAGCTCGAAGTGCAGGAACAAGCTGTCTCTTGCCTCCTAATTTTGTGCAATAGAAGTGAGCAGTGTTCCGATATGGTCTTGCAAGAAGGAGTTATACCTGCGCTGGTATCAATATCAGTGAATGGGACCCAAAGAGGACAAGAAAAAGCTCAGAAACTCCTGATGCTGTTCCGACAGCAGCGACGAGATGAATCACCTGTTGAGGCTCATGAGTGTCCTCCTGAAACTAGTGATTTGTCTGTGCCACCTGCTGAAGTGAAACCTTTATGTAAGTCGATGACTAGAAGAAAGACAGGGAAAGGTTTTGGCCTTTTCTGGAGAAGCAAGAGCTATTCTGTGTACCAGTGTTGAAGTTCAGTAGGTTGTAAATATCTCTGTTTTATATCCCTTTGCCCTTCCTGTGTTTCTGTGGGTTTAGCTTACTTTTTGGTTTCAAAAGCGAAGAAAAATTGTACAGGTCTGTGTAATTTATGGATTTTGTTTTCTTCATTTGCTTTTCTCTTTGTAACATAAATTTCTCCAATCTTAAGTGTTGGGTTTTGCATTTTTGAAGTTAATGTAAATGTGAATTATGTCATATAGCTATTCTGTTTTCCACAAGTGTTTTAACTTTAAAGCTTGCTCTTGTTTTGCCTAAAATGTGAATTATGCCATATAGCTATTCTGTTTCCCATATAGAACATCAACATTGTTGAAGATTCAAAATGTAAATTTTGCCTAAAATGACAGTGACACATCTTTTCCAAATACAATGTCAATCGAAATATACACATATATACATATCATTTTAATTTAGGTAACCAGAAAGATATTTGATTTGCATAAAAACAAAAATGGACTTGATTGACAAGTCTCTTTCAAGATTCCCAATTAACAACTAAAAAAATAAATTGCAAAACAAAATAAAAAGACACTCCCATTTGAAGTAGCCATCATAAATGCTATTCTCTTGCATGGTAAGACTTAACTTTTTAACTTTTCAGTTTGGTAACTTGCAACTATTAGTCATCAGAGTTATAAGTTATTTTTGTGGCAGTCTCCGTCGTTAACGACGAGGACTCATTAGCCATGCAGACTCAAACAAATCCATAAGTGGATCATATTCATATTTCACGTTTACACTTTTATCACCTTGGAATTTCTTGTCACTTTCACACTCTTCATTTTTTTTCTCTTTTCCTTCAGCTTCATTTTCACATTCATCATTATCTACTTTCTTCTCATTACTCTCCAATAATACTTCTTTGTATGAACTTTTCTTAGTGTTAGCACCAGACACTTCCACGGCACTTTTATTTTCAGCCTCTGGTATAGGAGGAAAACTTGCCACACTTGATGGATCCATTGGAAAGTTAAGATACTCCTCATTCGTACCCGATTCCATCTCTCTACTATTATTATTGCAGAAATTTACATCAACACCAATAGTTTTCTCATCCGCGCATGAATTTTCACGTCTCAATGTCGAAACCAAACTATTCATTTTCGAGGATGAGATTTTCAGCAACCATTCCAAATATGGAACTTTATGGATTATTTCAGGTACATTCTTGTTCAATGCTCCATCAAACTTATCTGGCAAAGAAAGTATCATTAACACGATTTCGTCGATTTTGTCGAACACATACCTTGAAGGAGGAAACAGTTTCTGTGTGATGTTTTCAGCGGCTAGGATGCGATCGTCGATGAAGGCAAGAATTGTTAGCCATTGGTATTGAATTGTAAAGATTAAAGGTGTGATAAATTTGGCCAATTTTGCCATGTTTCTGAATGTTGAACCTAATGGTCCATTGATACTTTGGGTTTTTCCTATGGCAATGTCACCAATTGTTAAGATCGAAACTCCACATGCATGCAAGGGACGTTGCCTTGAACTCATTCTTCTTGTTGTTTTTGCCTCCTGAGAAATCACATTAAAATAATAACATGAGAAAGAAATTAAATTCCCCATAAAAATTGAAAATTAATATCATTAATTATTATAGAGACTCCTAGGTTTATTAAACAAAGAATCATATAAATTTAATTTCCATTTTTTTTGTGATATCAATCATGTTTACGAGATCTGTTTTTCTTAAAGCTAAAAAAAATCTTATAAACGCAATTGATATCATTATGTTTTACGGCAAAACTCATGAATATACAAAGCTAATTTCTTTGATTAATTACATGCATGCATGGCTTGAATTATTTTTTGTGGATATAAACTTTGTTGCGAAAGAGATCTGATTAAAAACATCAGAAATGTAACGTTTGAAGAACAATTTTAGATTAGTAGTAATAAAAATAACAATATTGATAAACAGAAATTCCTGGTAAGAACATTGAAATAACAACGTTAAAAAAATGGAAACTCGCCTGGGAAAAAGAAGTGGTGGTAGGCAT